GGGCGTGCAAATCGACCCAAGTGTAATCAAATTCACGGCTTTTGGCGTGTCCTCGTAGTTCAATTGGTAGAGCGTTGGCTGTACTGAAGCTTTCCCTACTCATATGGGTCCAAATCCCATTAAGGCCCCGAATTTTTCAGAACTGTGTCAACTGAATTATCCAAATCTGCCAAACTCCTGCTTATGAGTAGTGTTTCTTTCCGACGAGGTAATAAAATGCGTAATCAGCCTCGCTTTAAGTAGCTTCAAAGTATCTTTTTCTGTTCTCACTGAACTGCAGGTTTTTAGTACAGTTTTGCTGCACTGTTCTCTATCAACTTTTTTAAATCTACTATTGTTCTCAACAAAGGAAAATGACTCATACGACGTAGGGTTTTGTCAGCTAAAGTATCATTGGCAGTTTTATTTATTCAACTATCCTGCTTGAATAGAAGTCAGAAATATACCCTAGAATTTACGTTCCAACCTGCTTATTGCTTGTTCTACCGTGACATTTAGGCGAAACCTCATACGTCGTTTCCAAGGCGCCATATTCTAGGGAAAATGTTAGCTGGTTTACTCAGATGTTGCGTGTAAAGACGAGGTCCAGGCACGCATTCTGCTGAAAGACCTGTTTTGTTGCACTGTCTTTGTGAAAAGACGAGAACAAGCGAAGCGAACGGGCCTTTTTTGGGTCCTGGCGTCATTGGATTCTTGCAGTTTAGCTTAATCTATGACATCCGGTTTTTATTTGCTGAAAAAATCCAAGACCTCACAGAAATGAAGTCAGTTTTAATTATAGCTTTGGGTAACCATGCAGAGACACACTGGGAGTGTGAATGTTTGGAATTCCATTTAATCCAGTCGACGTGGTGTTGAGTATGGCATAAATGTGTCCACGAAACTGGGCGTACCCCTGTAAAATGACAAAAAACGAACTAAAAAGGCAGAAGTTATTTAATTTTTGCCTACATTTCAGCCTACATTTGCCTTTCCTTTTTTAGGGTTACACTGACGAAAGCCTGCCCAAGATTTTATCAAGCGTCGAAGGTGGTCGTATTGCCCTTCTAGACAGGCGAGTCCCTACTTTTGTTTGCTCTGTGCAACTAATTCAGCCTGCAACCACCATGCTCGTCTGTATGGAACATGATAAGTTAGAAATGGATACGAAATTCAACGTTCCGGATGTTTGCATGGGTAAAGCATAATAATGTTTGAGCACCTAAACAGTTGGAACTCCTGTAGGAGTTCACCGTAGGAGGTAGTAGCAAGAGCAGCAGCAGTAAAAGGGTGACAATTATGGGGTGCGTAAGCTAATCAATTATGAAATGACGCAATTCTGGAGGTCGATGCGTAGGGTTCTAAATGCCAGCACCAATTCGGTACATCGATTAATTGACTTCGCATCCATGGTCCAGGTTTTATTCAATTCCCGGTTCTGAGCTACGAGACCCACGTCGGGGCCGTGAGTTTAATTACAATTGGGTAGATTTACCGCCCCCCCCAGCCTACTGCGATGTATGGAATCCACCAATTCTTATACAGTAAGCAGACTGCTCAGACAGAGTGACGGTGAAAATCTTATCAAACTTAAATCATTTAAAACTAACTTAACAGTTGGTTGGCTTACAAAACGACGCCTTGAGTTTTATTCCAGCTTGATGTATGCCTGACAGAGTCCTCGTTTAGTCCTTGGTGTCACGCTCTTTTTTATATAACATGTAAAACGTTACGTTCGAACGCCTTTGTTAACGAAGCTTATGGGAGAGAGGCCCGCAGCGTCGCCATTTCAGAAACCTCCGGGCGCCACAGTAAAAATTAACTTTGCTGTTGTTCGTATTACACCGAACGGTGTACAGCGACGAAGGTAAGAGCATTTGTCAGGAATAGGTGTCATAGAAGAAGCACACTATGCTCCTTTTCGGTTCCTTTAAAATATACAAAGCGTTCAAGTGAATGATCTCGGACTCATTAGATCAAAATACATTTCACTTGAGATTGGCGGAGACTTATCCGAGCATGTCATTTCAGTTTTGAGTACCCATCTGGACCCCCCACGACGGTTACGTAAATACTATTACCAAGTATGTTGCTAAACAATCGAGCCTGGCCTGGTGAAGAACATTTTCTTTCGGGGTTAGACATTTTCTATGGTATTCGATGGAATGCATTTCGCAGATAAAAAGACAGGGCGTTATGATTACACTTTCTGGCTCTGTTTGGGGATTGGTCGGTTGACGTTCTGTAATTTAATTGGCTGTCCGTAGCTTCGCCTCTGGATTTTGCCAGAAGATGGCAGAAGATTACGTTCTTCCGAAGATAGGATACAATTCTTCCTGTCAGAGTGTGCTTATTGACTGTTACTTTTGGGGTGCAATCAAATTGTCTGATCGACGGTTAAACATTCATGAAGGTTTTATCACGGAATTCTGCGCCATCTTTTTTTCATTTTATATCGCTGACCCTTAAAGCAAGCCGTTTTTCACTCTATTATATATAACAGTTTCATTATTAAAAGGGGTTTGGCTGCTCTCAATAATTTATTTTACCTTAATAGTCTCGGTGGGATTCAAACTCACGCCTGTAAGGGAAGGCTTCAGTAGAGCCAACGCTCTAGCCAACTAAGCTGTCAAAGGACCAGCGGGGAGGCGTGAATGTGATCACACTTGGGTCTATTCGCCCGCCCAGCCTACTGCTCGTATGGAATCCACCAATTCTGATACAGCAAGCTGACTGCCCAAGCAGGGTTTGCCTAAGTAACCAATTTAAAATCCACCAGATGACTACCAGGTGCGCTTAATTAGGTGGGAGTGGACGGATTTGAATAATTCCTTTGACTCAATTGTGAAAAACTTGACTGTCACGGTGGCTCGTCTGGCTTCCGCATGGGCGATTATCTTGACTGTTCCGGAGTTGAACTCATGACCCGGTTCATAGTTGTAGGCAGCAACTTGCGATTATGCCAGATTATGTTCATGCATGGGCGATCCGAGTATGCGTTCAGTTTGACCAGTGTGAGTACAAAGGCAGTTTGTACACAAACACCAACACTAACATCTGCATCAACCATAAGTTCCTTTAATTACGCCCGATTCCCGTTCGCATGTCCTCTTATCAGCCAAACCTACTGTAAGCACGAATAGGCCGCTTGGGATATCAAGCACAGTTCGTTGGTCATTTTGCATTTTGAAGATGAAGTCTCTGGCTCCTGCGC